TTTTTTTTTTTTTTTTTGCTTCGGTAGGTTTGACATCCAGCAGATGTGTTCCTTCTCACAGCATAAGGTAAGCGACTAAGGCATGTACAGCTGCTGTATAGTCATCGCCATAAATTAATAATAAGTCTTTCAAAAACAGCCCAGGAACCACGCTCAAGTCCAAGAGATGCCAGGGGTTTGCTATCACGTGGAGCGGTGCAACCATGACCTTGTTGGCCACTTTGCCGTCATCAAAACATGAACAACTACGGAGCAGGGAAGGGATCGACCGGGAATCTGGTGACTAATTCCTAGTTGCCAAAGCCCGTTACTCCCACACTTCAGACCGCCTCTTCTGTGCTGCTTCGGAGAACCCTCATGATTACGGCGGGTTGTGGGACCCAAGAGACCTTTAGACACATCTCCAGGGCAAAGATGGCAAGGATGACATGCGAGACGCCCTCACATGCTTCCAGAACAACGGCTGTCCGCTCGCCTGTTGCATTTTCGCAGATAAAGCCGTGGGCAACTGGCACCTGCTGTGGGGTGTCTCTACATTCAGATTAACTGTAGAGGGTGTCGACTGTTCAAGGTGCAGGGGGGCCGCAACTTGTTTTTGGACGTGCAAACCTTGTCCTGCATGTGGAACAAACAAACAAGCCCACGCTCAACACCAAGATCCAGGGCTGAGAGAATCAGTTCCAAGGTGACCAACAGAAGGATGGTGCCTTCTGCAGCCTGAGACACAGAGGTATTGATACTTGGTACAGGGAAGTCATCATGCTAGGGAGGCATTCTACGAGACACTGGCGTTATCTATCATGGTAAAGTGCTATCTGTAATAGAAAATATGAGGGGACACCGTTAGAAGTGATAACCTGACTGTAACTTGCGTGTTTTGCTAACTATACGGTGGCTTTTGGTGCTGTTATTTTAAATGACTAACTTGTAGAGAAACAAGCACCTGACTCCACGGAACAGCCAAGCAACATTGCTATGTAATAGCCGCCCCACTCGAAGGCGAAACTCCGCAAAATTGCTTAAGCGTTGCCCCAGAAGGGTAGCAACACGCAGACGCTCATGACAACCCTGCTGGTGGCGCGGAGTTAGCTGCAGAACTTCCTTCACGGAGTCCTCCAAACGAGGATCTGATGCTGGCAAGCGCATAGGCCTGATGCATATGTAGCCACAACGTGCTGGAGCCGGTCGGTGCTGCGGGTGGTTGACGGGTCAAAGGCACAATTCAACTTCTTTGGTTCAAGAAACTGTGCGGAAGCCTAGCGTTCCAACGCGAAACCTCACTGCAACAACAGCGAGCTGAGTGAACGCATATTATGTGATCCGACAAAGTCTGGCAGAAGCTGAAATACTGCACCAATGAAATCGGATGGAAGGGCTGAAGCAATTGTGTGGACCCTGACAGGTTGAAACCACTGCAACAAAAAGAGCACCATGCATATCCCATCCTAGCATTCTATTGTCAGACTGTCCCATGCTCCTGACACATAGCATGCGCTGTTCACAATGCCACCGACTGGTTAGGAACCAGGAAATCCTAAGCTTTCGATTCAGCTGCAGAAGGTGGTAAGAAATCACCAAACGCTAGTTCACGGCCAGAGCGGGATCCTCTTCAAAGCGAGGAAGTGGGAGTATAGTCCCCTTGAGTAGA